ACTAGAGGTGATGCTGGTTCCACCGGTTCCCCCTCAAAGAGAAGTGTCCTCATGCGAACGACTCAACCCCAGCGAAATCGCTCGTGCGAAGACCAGACACTGGTCGAAGGCATCCAACTTTCGGGTCTCGCTTTCGCCGGTCGAGACATGTCACCGTGACCCATGACCCGTGACATGACCTGTGAATCATTGAGAAAGAAGGCACAGAGAGACAAGCATCTCGAGAAATAAGAAATCCCCCAAAGATTTAGTATATACACGTAAATATGTAATTGAACAATATTGAAGATGATCTCCCATTTTGTAAGAAGGAAGAACTTCCGATCGGGTGCTCTTAAGAGATTGGCTTCTCTCCCTCACAATCGCTCGCTCCATCCACACTCGTCGGGAACAAATCGTCGACGATCGACCGATCGTCGCGCCGCCATGCGACGCCCGAGGATTTGTTGGGTAACGAGCTTCGGGATGAAGTCATGGAGCTCTTGGACCGTCGCGCGGTGACGAAAAAAGAGAAAAGGACCTTGGGACACCGGGGACGGGACGGGACATTTAAAAACTGTTTTTTTGTGTGTTGTTTGCGCTGTTTTTGTTTGGTGTTGTGATGTCAGTCAGTCAGTCAGTTTGTTTGTTTGTTTGTTTTTGCCACACCCAAATGTGAAAAAAACACGTGGATTTTGTCAGACGTGATGTTTGATGGCTTCCTCAAGTATACCATATAGATGACTTTTGATGATGACTTCTAACCTCCTCGTGTATATTGGATTATTGGATGAGGGTGGATGAGTGGAGGTCTCTCACGTTCATCTGAATGTGCAGGAGCTTTAGAGAGATCGGCCGGCTCCAAACCTATGTATTGTTCTATTGTATTTTACTGCACTAACGATTGCTTGGCCAGTTTGTGGTAGGGATCTTGCAACGGCACTTCCCCTCTCTGACAAGCGGCAATTAACAGGGAGCGATTTGCCGAGATCTCCCACTGTGGCGCATGCGTGGATGCTTTTTCTATCTTTTTCTGCCGGGAAAACTGGTACTCACCCCCCTGCCAAGAGTTCCGGTGACCTCGACCATGAGCACCACATAACACCACATTGAGTTTTTGGATGTTTTCGTTTCGCGTGGATCTCAGGCTATGATACGGACCGTGATGGAGAGCTCAGCTTTAGGGAGCTTAGTGGCAGCAATAGAAGGAAAACACAGCCCATGTTGGTGCCAAATCAAGGATTTCGCCTGGGAATTCGGAGACGGAGACTGCGAGACAAGTTCAAGTCGGGTTGAAACTCCAAATGGCAACCAGCTGGAGAGACCTTTGGATATGTTTGGCATCATTCTGAGTGGTTCCGAGGCCATTACTACTACAGAATAAAGGACGTAATTAGGTGGAGGCCATCGCAAGTAGGTTGGAGGTCATCGCTGCTAGGAACAAGAAGCTAGTAGCAAGTTGAACAATACCGATGGCCGCAGCACGTCCACGTCCCCACATCTGCAGCACAGGTTTCGGGCCTTGCTGACGCAGAACCGCGAGGCGGATGCTGGCGGACGCCGGCGGACGTTGGCGGACTCTGGACGTTTATGGCTTTGTATGGCTCTGTGGATTCAACACTTCCGAAGACTTAGGATTGTTTCATGAGCTTTCAACTAGTGATACTAGTGTAGCCAGTAGCTTTGGATGTTTTGTTTTTATTGTTCAAACCATCTGTCTTCGATTCAGCTTAAAGTCTTCGATTTACTATCGGGCTGTGCAAAAAAGGAATCAACCACGTCCTTCGAAGCTGTGCGATCTTCTCGCAACCGCAGGGATCGCCGCCCAAGCGGTTGCAAAAGCGGGTATCACAAGGCTCGGATTTGATGACGAAATCTCCCTCCTACTAGGCGTGGATCTCAGCATGTCAACTTGACGCTGCTGCACACTGCACTACTCTTTTTGCTCTCCATGCTGCAAGCTGCCTGGAGTTTTGGAGTGATTTTCTGCAGGAGGAATGCATCGTTTGCATTCTTAGGTCATAGCCCCTGTTCCAAAAGTACTGCCAGCACGCTGTTTTGTTCTTTTGCTTGGCGACTCTGCATTCAAATCGCACATAGTGGATAGGTGTTCAGCCATGTTCAGCCTACGCAATGTAGTATATAGGCCAATACAGAACTGTCGGGCAAAATAACAAACCATTGTTGTAAAAGTTCACGTGGACACCGTGGACACCCTTTGTTGCTTTCATACTTTAACAATTCTTGTACCAAAGGGTGTAATTTGAACACATCAGCCAAGTCAAGGTGTTGGAGGATTGTCAGAGGATTGCCATGGTAACGCACGAGTAATAAATGGCTTGGCAACACACTCACAGCCCCAGTTTGCCAAGGTGCAGCTGTCAGTTGAGTGCAACTGCACTTTTGGTATGCGGAACACAGGCCTTGGGCCGTTTTGAAAAATCGGTCATACTTGATCAGGTACACTCATCTAAAACCCCACTGTGTGTGTGTTCTTTTTAAGAGAACACAGATCGATGGGAACAGAGTCCAGAGTTGGGTTGGAGGAATCATCCAGAATTGAGGCCCTTGGAGACTCCTACCCCGGATGCCAACTCGCAGTGCCAATAGTGCCAGCACTGCCACGGATTGATGGGCTGTGGTCGGAAGTTCTTTTGGAAGAAAGACAAGTTCCGAAAATTGCAGCAACGGTAGAATCTGTTGAAATTTACTTTTACGTAGAGGTATTGACTGTAAACATGTACTGTACGCACCCTGTAGCGTAGACGTACTTGCTCTACTGCAGATTCCCTCCCTGCACAGTTTCTGTGGACTGTTCCAAAACTGAGAGGACGGCACCTGGTGCACACCATGGCTGTGAGTGAAACCCTCCCCTTTTCGAGGAATTTGTTGGTCAAGCAAGATCCCCCAGTGTTGACCCGTAGGCAAAGAACTTGAAAGGAAAAAGCAAAAGGGTACGTGAACATGCCTCCTGTCCTCTCCTGCGTGTTCTCGGTTCTCATTCAGATCACTTGGACAACTGGGGGCCACGAATTCAGAACCCATTCAGAGCAGTGAAAAGAGGTGAAAAGCAAAAAGAGATGAATGTCCGAGAGTTATGTTCAAGCATGCAATGCAGACAGTCCATACCAAAAGTATCTGAGTACATCCAAGCGCGGAAGATGATAGGAATGACCTGAGACATGAACCCACGAGACAAGCTAGAACCTATGACAGCGGTGGCTGGTGTGTTGGGGCTGCTGTGCTGGTGGATGGTCAGCCTGAAGGGCTTTGCTTGCAGTTCACACGGATCTGCACCGATCCTTCTGCTGACGGAAGCCAGAAGAACACCTCGCAGTTCACAAGCGAAAAGCACTGTTCGCAGTTCACAAGGCACTTGCTGGAACGACGACGTTAAAACACGACCTATTGGTTACTAGTAGTCTGCAACCTCTGGCTTCCACATCCCTGGCTTGCCTAGGGCACCCGTCGGGTCAGGATGCCTGTGCCGTTTCCACTGCTTGCTGGGTCGTTCGACATTGGTCTTCCATGATCCCAGAATGTCGGAATGTCCTTCGTTTTCTGGATCTTCGATTTGATGCTCGTCGTCGACCAATCCGTCAAGCAGAGAATGAACATGAACAAAATATTTTCGGTGGCTGCCTGCTCCTAAAGGATGGGCAACGTTCGTCGCAGGTGGCTGAGATGGGCTAATTGTTCGTCGAGTCGCACGCACTGGCTGATTTGTTGGACGCCGAAAAGGCCGCCTTTTAGGTCCAAGGAGGTGTCTCAACAAAAGGCTGTGCTGCGTCGAGTCAAACATGATTCAACATGACGATTGACTACTTGACCTGGCTAGGTCAAGGGAAGCCTCTCCTCTAGAACTGAACTACTGTTGTGGAACTTGACCTTTCTACATGACCTCAAAGGGAGCCTCTGCTACCTGTACGTTTCGTATCGTTTCATATGACCCTGTTGGAAAACCGAATGCTGGCCATCAAGGTAGCAATGAAATCGGTTGGGCACGACATGTGGGTGTAAGATGGTGTAAGCTGCTGCATGGCGTGACGTGTTTCTCATCCAGTCTTAACCATGTAGGCGTGTATTGGAATAGAGTGAGAATCCCCAGTTTGACCCCTGGGAACTGCCGACACAGACTAAACATGATTAAACATGAACAGCCAACCAACATTTTTCTTAGCTGAATATGATCTAACGCTGACCTCGGTTTCTTTCTGACTGAGCCCAGCCGACGAACGAAAAGCTGATCCGTGGTCACCTGATTAACGATATTTTCCACAGCAAGGCTCTAAGCAGCCGCTGATTCACTGAATTTGCTCCGAACCCGAGCATTCAGTTGCATAAGCACATGGAAGACACCCCCATTCAGCGAAATACTATCATCCGACTTGTAGAAGTGCAGAACCGACAATTGACAATACTGTAGTAAATTGCTTTATTGCTTTGGAAACTTTGAGACATGTGTGGGAGATGGATATGGTCCTCCAAGTGCAGTATACAAAGCTTTGTGAGGCTAGCAAAGTCCTCCAGAACTCTACACTTGCTTCTTTAAATGTGCATTGCAATCGATTCAATCCCAATGGATGACCCATAGACCTGTTTCTCATGACTGCTCTTTTTCAGGTCAGTCTCACATTGCCATAGAAGGCTTTTTGTGGTACACGGCCACAATTTATGTCATGTCTGTGTAGAGAGCGTATATGGAAGGTAGCAGAGCCCTTGTCCGATGCCAAGGGCCAAAAAGATGCCGCAGCACCACAGGCTCTACTTTACTCTGTAGGTATTTCCTGGGATGTTATATACAGCAGTAGGGTCAGTAATGTTTTCTTGAGAATACCCGGAGTATCGCCAACTTTTCGATCCAACACAAAAGCATTCAGTACTGGCTTTTTCATGCTTTTAATTACAATAAGAACCTTTTTGAAAGAAGATGGTGGAGACCACTTCTTAAGTTGCCAGTGTAATCTAGGCTCTCAATCTCAAGTTTGGGATTGTTGCCACTGGTTCTGTATTCCTCACAGGAGACAGTTGATGAGCCAGCCAAGGAGGACGGATGGGATAGAAGCAAACAATGTTTGATTCAGATCAATTGCTCACTTGATTGAACACAGGCGAAGCCAGAAGTAGTGGCCAGCCCCGCACGCGTGCGCGTGAGCACATCATGAATTGGGGCGCTTCAGGCGGGAGTCTCCCGCTGATGGTTTGAATGAAGTTACTTAATTGCTGTTACTTTGATGACCAGCCAAAGTCAACGTTTGGCATTCTTCTTTAGGTCGGAGGTCATCACTAGTAGGGCGGGTGGAGGCCATCGCTACTAGGATCTTCTCAGTGTTCTTTTTGGGCCTTTGAGTGTCGCATGTCTAGGGCTGGGGCATCCTTCAAACTGACATGAGTGAGTATGGGTTCAGACTGCACTCTCGAGAGGTTTGAATCAAGGAGACTTCGGGCGGTTCTATATAGAGAAGCAGCGAGGCTTCTCCCTTGTACCATTCCTTCACCACATATTCATTGTTGCAAGATATTTTGTTGGGCGGGTCACACACAAGGACAATGCAAACGTCTCTTTTACTATCCCGGGGTCTAGTGTTCCTTGTCAAATTTACTGTCCATTTTCCTGTGAGCATCGTTGGCAGATCTCATGAATACCTTTTTGCATACAACAGTTTGTAACTACCGAACCAAAGGGCGCGATGATTTACAATCCAGCGTCAGATTTGGACATTGACGAGGAAGCAAGCATTTGTCTAGCACGAGACCAGGTTGAATTCGAGACCTACCAGGGGCTATGTGGGTGCAGCTCCAAGATGGGTGAAGACTGATGACGTGTTGTAGTTTTCAGTGCTGAATTTGAAGGCTTCAGAAGGTCTTACATGGCGAGCACAGGAAGTCTCTTGGGCTTTTGATTGGCTGATCGAGCGTCAGGTGCTGCGTGCATCGCAGGCAGCAAAGGATGCTTCCTGAGTTCAAAGGTTTCGGCCATTGCTGGAAGACAGGACTTTGTAGACTTGTAGACCCTTTTATGGAACGTATTCTTCTATGTTTAGATTGGAGACACCTTGACATCAAAGATATACCTTGACATGAATACTAGACAGATTCACAAGTTGCAGTTTGTTCGGCTTTTGACCTCACATCATTCAGCTTAAATGAACATAAAAGAACACGCACAGCACTACTAAATATGCCACAATAATGCAATTATGCATTGAAAAAGCATATGTTTAAATACATCAATCTATTTTGTTTAATATTGCATAGACATTAAGGCAAGTGTATAATGCACCGCGTGCCTGAGGGAGGACATCAATTTGTACCAACGACTAAGGCATAAGGGTGTAATAAGAGGAGATCAGAACCTAAAGGACCTAACGCTCGGAATATCAACGTATATACTACCCACAAAGGCTACTAAGAGTAGGAAAAAGAGGGTAAGAGAGCGAGAGCGAGAGCGAGAGCGAGAGCGAGAGCGAGAGCGAGAG